GCTTCGTGGCCCCATAGGGAGCTCTCACCGGAGCCCGCACCCAGTGCGACGCTTCGTGGCCCCATAGGGATCTTCACCGAAGAAGATATTCACAATTGCGGTGCCCACAACTGCATATGGTCGGGTCCTTCGCCAGGATAATTGTTTTTAGTGTTGTAGTAGTCGTTTCTCTTGGCCTCCCCTCCTCATCACCTCATCGATTTCGCCAGCTGCGGATCGAGGCCAGAATGTGTCAACAGCGCTTGCGCAACCCCCCCGGCGCGGGGGTCAGGGAGTGGAGGGAGTTTTGACGCTTACAGTGGGGCGGATTAGGCGTCGCATGCAGATCACGCGTCCGCTTTAGGAAGAGTAGGTATAGCTCGAGCGTTGGATTCGAGTGAAACCGCACATTCTGTGCAGCGCAGCAACTGCGGAACAAAAGTGGCACGTGCGTTCGGAATCTGCTTGAATGTGCGCAGCCTTCATTTCTTGATGTCGAAGGTTGATGACAAGAATTGTTCAGATGGTTCACGCCGCGGCGCCGATTTTTGGAGCCCCGGATTCCTACGACTGTCGAGTCGAAAAGTCCCGCAAGATTTCCTCACCCAGTGGCCCACACAGGCAATCAAAACATTGGACGACGAAGGAGAACAGCAGGTCGAGGAATATATTCGACGCACTTCGCTCCCCGAAATTGCGGGGTTGGGGGATGATATGGATTTCGGGTACTGGTGCGCGCTGCGTTGATGCGGTGTTCAAGCTGGTTGTCGTCGCAGGCTCGCCTAAATCCTAAATCAAGGTTCTCTGTTGCCTGGTGGTTTGGGGAGTCTGGGCGTCCAAGCTGTGTCCGTCCGTAGGCCGTTTGGTGGCGGGAGCCTTGGCGCGAAAGATGTATCCGTCAATGGGCCTCCAGGGGGGCCCCTTCAGATGCTTGGGCGCCTTGTTGTTCCGTCTTGGAAGCTCGTGGACGCCTCTGGGCACTCCAGATTCCATGAACAAGTGAGGGGGGTCACATTGGGGGGGGGGGGTGTGATTTGAGTTGTCTTGGAGGGTGGGGGGGGGGTCTCTGGGCAAAGGGCCGCCCTTGCATGGATGGTCTGGGGGGGGGGTCTAAAAGTTCTCGTCCAGGAGGGTTGTGACTCCCTCCTTTTTCTTACAGTCGGGGAGCTAAAGAAGGAACCCTTTTCGTTGGGGAGGGGCTCGGTGTTCCTTGATTGTGTTGCAGTTTGCCCTGGGTTTTCCCTAGGTTTCCCATGGGACATCGAAGCTTCACTTAGGGGAAAAGTTGGCCTCGTTCCTTATTGAGGGTCCCTTGGGTCAACGCCCCGACTGAACGAAATACGGTAGGTTTGCGTCGTGTCGACCAGCGGCGACCCCAGCGCGGACGTTCAAGGTTGAACGCCGCCGGCGACCCAGAATCGGTCGATGTTGAACGATCGGACCTTGCGGCAGCGGCCGATCGTTCAAGGTTGAACGATCCCTGCGGTGTCAAAAACCAGCGCTGGGGTCGGCACGACACGAACCTGCCGTACGTCTGTACGCCCACGATGGCCCCAACAGGGGCTCCTCCTCCTCCTCCTCCTCCTCCTCCTCCTCCTCCGCCTCCTCCCCCTCCTCCTCCTCCTCCTTCCCCTCCTCCTCCTCCGCCTCCTCCCCCCCTCCTGGGGCTCTCGTGAGCCCTCCTCGGGCGCCCTCTTCGGCGGCCTCGGGGACGTCGCGGGGCGCTCGCTCGGCCCAACTTCTGGGGCGTGCCCGCGGGGCCCGCTCTCTCGGGCCGTCCTGGGGCCTGGGGTGTGAAGTCCGGCGTGCCCCTCGACGGGAGGAGTGCGCAAAGTTAGTCAAGACATAGTTTTGGGGGGCCCAAAAATATACACCACCACCACCTCCCTCACCCCCTCCCTCTCCCAGGAGAGAGGGAACGAAGAGGAGGATAGAGGAGAGAGGAGGAATGGACGTGGTGGTGGTGTATATTCTTTGGGTCCCCAAGTTTGGGGACAATTTCTGATTAGTTTCTAATGTGTTTGAACATCTACTCTTGTTTCACAAGTTGTTATTTCCGCCCAAAATCCGCCTGTAGGGGGACATGCCCGACCTAAGTCTAGGGATTCCCGTCATTCAGGCGATCCAAAACATGGATCAAGGGGGCGTGGATTAGCGACGGGTCCCGTTTCCATGGGGATTCGCGGATTTCCGCAGCCGAGCGAGGCGGCACCGGCTGCATTTTGGGGAGGGCACCTCCCCCGATCCATGGATTTGGCGACCGCGCGCCAAATCCATGGATCGCTAATCCATGTTTTGCGCGCCCCCAGGCATCTGGAACTCTGCGGAGTTTTGGCGTCTCAGGCGTGGCCGTCAGATGGGAGCCATTTGCGCGTTCGGGAGCTCCAGTGTCCAAGCCGCGCCCAGGATTGGCCTGCCTGGGGGCCCTCCTGGGGGGGGTCTCTTCAGAGGGCGCTGGAGGCACACTGGGGGCATCGTGGGTGCCTCGTTGGTCATGGCGCCAGCATCGCAGAGCGGATTTCGTCCGGAAAACGATAGGGTGGGCCCGGGATGGCCTGTAGAATTTCGTTCCGGAGTTCGAGGTGAATTTCATGCGGATTTGCTTGTGCCAGGAATGAAGACCAAAAAGCATCCACGCGAAATTCATTGCGTTTTTCGCTCGCCGCTTCGAGCAAACATCCACGCATAAATCCACGCAGAAATCCGCTGCAGCAAGTCTGAAAGGCCGGTGCAATGGCATTGGCCGTCCCCGATGGGCGTTGCGATTGTTTCATGCCGGGCGCTGTGGCCTGGTTTTTTGGGCCCCGAGGACCATCCCAGGTGCGCCGATCCTGTTGGGAAGCTGCAGCAGGAAGATGGCGTTTGGGTCTCTGGTCTTAGGTCGGGCGTATCCCCGTACAGGCGGAATTTGAGGAAAAATTAACCAGAATCGACAAACATTCGAAAGTAGTCAAAAAATCGTCTCCATACCATTTCTTAACAATTTTTGAATATTCCCCCTCCAGAGGGACAGGCCCGACTTACCTCTGGTCGTGAATGTTCGCGGTGTTGCAATTTGTCGCAACGCCGGATCTCAAGGGTCTTGGGAGCCAGCGGAGGCCTCGTGGGAAGCCTTGGGGCCCTCTGGGCCGTCTTGAGGCCCGCCCCGAGGCACTTGTCCTACGTGGACCTGTCATCAACATCAGGGGCGGCCAAGAGGGGGGTGATGACTAGGGGGGTGGATATCATGGCGGGGGCCATGAAATCTCCCCAGATTTCTTGGCGCCTCTTCTCACTTCATCACGTCCCCGGCCCCCCCCTTGGCCGCGCACATGCCGCTGGTCATGATTTGCGCTCCCCCCTCTTGGACGCCCCCCTCTTGGACGCCCCCGACAACATTTCTGACGCGCCTTTGAGCATTTCATTGCCAGGTTCGTCCGCTGGCACCATCGGGGGGCCGCCTCCAAACCGGCTGGACCAGACTCCCGCTGCAGGGTTTGAGGAGGGGCGGCTATCTCATAATTACGCCGAGGCACCCCAGGGGTCTCTTGAGGCAATTTGAAGGGGTTCTTGGGGGCTCCTGGGGTGGCCTCTTGAAGGCGTATTGAGACTATTCCGAAGGGAGGGGCTCTGGAGGCCACTTCGATGTCCTTCTCTTGGCCCTCTCTTGCGGGGCCCTGGCAGGAGACAATGGGAAACCCTTGCGACAATCAATGGTTCTGGCCTCTGGAGGCCCTCGTGGGGGTCCTCTTGGGGTTGTCTTGGACCGTCTTAGTGGCCTCTTGGATGGATCTTATTGATGCCATCTTTCGGCGGCAAGCCCTGGGGGGCAGTGTGAGGGGGCGGGCCTTTTCAGAAGGCTTAGAAGTCCTCTGGCCTTCTGAGAAGCTCTCTAAGCCTCCCTCGAATATGCAGAGCATTCGTCGGAAGGCGCGATGGCTTCTGAGAAATCACACCGCCTTCTGAGAAGGCCTTCTCCTTCTCACTTCTCTAGTTCACCCAAAAAGGGGGTCCAGCTACAAGGGGGTGGTGCAATAGATGAGGTGCAATAGATTTGCAGGTTGCCATAGATCTGGGGCGTGCAATACACTCCGTGGCACAATTGCTGCATTGTTGCCTACAATACAATAGTTGCAACACAATGCAATGCAATTCTCCGGCGCAGTACAGTTGCAATGCAAGTGCCCCAAATCTATTGCACCGCCCCCTTTTCTGCTGGACCCACTTTGGGTCAACCGAAACTTCCCCCGCTCTCATGAGGAAAATTCTGGAGGCCTCGCGCAGCACGTAATAGTTATATTATCTAGTCCACACGCTTGCGTGGCGATGCTCCGGCGTCAGTCCGACGTAAATCCGACATAATTCTGACGTCGTGCGACGTAAACCCAACATCAATCCGACGTGACCGACGTACATCGGGTCTCAAGTTGCCGCGCGAGGTCTCCAGAAGTTTCCTCATAACAGCCCGCTCGCCGCCAAAGTCAGAAGATCACAAACATGGAGCAAGGGGGCGTGGATTAGCGACGGGTCCCCTTTCCATGGGAGATCGCGGATTTCCGCCGCCGAGCGAGGCGGCACCGGCCGCATTTTGGGGGAGGGCACCTCCCCCGACCCATGGGTTTGGCGACCGCGCGCCAAATCCATGGGTCGCTAATCCGTGATTGCGCGCCCCCGAATGAAGAAGAAGAGAGGACAGGACCAGAAACTCCGGCGCCCCTGCAGTTTCTGTTTGGGCCGCTTCTCCTTCCTCTAGACGGCGCGGCCTGGCTCCCCGGCTCCTCCCGCCGTGCCTCCTCTCGCTCCGTTCGCCGCTCTCTCCCTCTCTCCCTGTTCCCTCCGTTGACCACGTGTTGCTCGGCTTGTCGTCGACGTTTGATCAAGGACCCCCTGGCTCGGAGACGGCCGCACGGCTTTCGTATTGAGGATTTGCCAGAGGCCGCCGAGAACAGCCGCTGACCGCCGAGGCACAGCAGATGGCCGATCTGTGGCAAGCGGACCGTGATGCATGTCCCTCCCCGAGCCTCCGGCCCCTCCTCCTCGAGTAAGGTGATGCAAATTGCCCGGACGGCTCGGAGACGGCCGCACAGCTTTCGCATTGAGGATGTGTCCGCTCGCCGCCAAAGGCAGGGACGCCCGCGTCGATCGCGGGGCGCCCTCCGCCGAGCGCCCCCGGGGGGCTCGCGCCGGCCTCGCGCCGCGGGAGCCGGGCGCGAGCCCGCCTCGCCGCCCCAGCGGGGGGGGGCGGGGGAGGCGGCAGTAGCCCGTGCCCCAAGAGGGGGAGGGGGAGGAGGAGGAGGAGGAGGAGGAGGAGGAGGAGGAGGAGGAGGAAGAAGAGGAATGAAAAGAAGAGGAAGACGAACAAGACGAATAGTAAGCAGAAGCAGAAGAATAACAAGAAGAAGAAGAAGAAGAGGAGGAGGAGGAGGAGGAGGAGGAGGAGGGGGAGGAGGGGGAGGCGGCAGGAAGAGGAGGAGGGGGAGGCGGCAGGAGCGCTGGGGGGGGAGGAGGCGGCAGGAGTGCGGGCGACGCGACGGCAACGGGGCGCCCCAAGACGGGCTGCCTGGGGCCACCCACAAGAAGCCTGAAGTCGGGCCTGTCCTTCTGCAAGAGGAGTATTCAAAAATAGTTATAGAAATTGACAATGTTTGCATATGTTTTGACTATTTGTTAGGTTTCCTCCAAAATCTGCCTGTCGGGGACATGCCCTACCTAAAAGAAGCCGCGCCCAGACGGCGCATTTCAGAGGTCGACGGCGAGCGAGGGGGGAAGCCAGAAGGAGAAAGCCTGCTCAGAAGGCTCGGAAGTTCCCCGCCCTCTGAGAAGTTTCCTGGGCCTTCCCCGAAGGCACGAAAAAACTTCTCAGAGGGCGCGATGGTTTCTGAGAAGCCCCGCCGCCTTCTGAGAAGGCCTTCTCCTTCTCACTTCCCCCCCCCTCGCTCGCCGCCGAAGAGGTGGATGGATCTCAATGAGACCCTCTCGGGGCCGTCGTGGAGCCATCTCGGGCCGTCCGATGGCCCTCTGGGCGTGCCTCGGAGCTCCTCGTATGGGCCAGACGAGACCGCGGGCACGGCCGGGCCGAGCCCCCCCCCCACACCCCACCCCCCTGCCCCAAAGCGGCCGAGCCGGGCTCCCAGGAAAGGGGCCTGGGGAGGGGCACACAGCTCGACGCCGAATCCTGGGCAGTCGTAAGGCCATCTCAAGCCGTCTGGAGGCCCCCTGGACGCGTCGCGGAGCTGTCGTGGGCCAGATGAGTCCTCCTCCTCTTCCTCCTCCTCCTCCTCCTCCTCCTCCTCCTCCTCCTCGGCCTCCTACTCCTCCTCCTCCTCCGCCTCCTCCTCCTCCTCCTTTTCCTCCTCCTCCTCCTCCTCCTCCTCCTCCTCCACCCCCTCCCAGAGCGGCCGAGCGGGGCTCTCGGGAGGGGGGCTGCCTTGGGGGGGGCACACTTGCATTCGGGCGAGTGGGTCCTTTGCAAAAGGGGTCTTGAAAACGTGCTCACGAGCTCGTGCAATCGTTCGTGCGGGATGCGCGCGTCGGGCAACATCAGCACGTGGCTGCCACGCGCCTTGCGCCACGGAGGGTCGGGGCTCAAGGGACGGGGGGGTCAAGGCAAACGGAGGTCAGCCAGGGCGCCAGATCCTACAGGACCCTGCCGAGCCAGGGCTGCACTGACCCGGGCTAGGGCGCAGGATCCTGCAGCATCTTGCAGGATTTTGGGAGGATCCCCCGACAGGGGTTGCTGAGGACGGGCGCACACATCTCGCCGTGGGGGAAAGGAGTCCTGAGGTTCTTCGCCTTGGTCGGGCCCTCGGGGCCATCCGAGGGCCCCGGGGACTGCCAGGCAACGATTCAGGGTGAAGATCTCGTCCTGGGGGGAGGCCGCAGGGTTCAGGAGTCGTTTCCCTCAGGACCCGGTTCGCCCATGCTAATCACCGGGACGAGCGAAATAGGTACGGAAAGAACAGTTGCAAACACCGACAGCAGTTCCTGATTATTTTGGACAGGGTTCGCTGTCGGTGTCGCCGCGGGCGGTTTCCTTTTGAGACAGAAGGCCGCCTGCCCAACAGCGGTTGCTTTGGGTTAGACAGACATCAGGTGTTGTTGGGCATTGTACCCATTTGTTTCGTACCCATTCCGGGCGTGCAAAGGTGAGGGGCACACATCTTACACGCCGAGGTCTCCAAGGGGATGGCGAAGTGTTGTTTGGGACGCATGCCCACTTGTGGTTTTGCAGATGTGTAGCTATGTGTGTTGGGCGGTGCCTCTTGCGATCCAGGCCCCAACACGCGCACTTCCCAGCTGTTCATCAACTATAAGGACAACTCATTCCTCGACAAGCAGGGCTTCTCACCGTTTGCCGAGGTAATTGGCGACGGTATGCAGGTCGGAGCTGAGCATTGGTGCGATGTGTGTTGCTGCCGTGTTGCCACATGGTCGAATGCGTGTCTTCGTTCTGACTTCGCAGGAGTTTCTAATGCGGACCTTAATGTTGGCTTGTTCGGCTCAGTGGGTCAGGAATGTCATGTTGCGCGGGCATGCCGTTGCAGTTTGGGTGAGATGTTGAACCCTGGCCCCAGGGTGACTAAACGAGACAGCAACCTACACTATAAAAAGCTGCCTTCGGCGTAATATTATGAGATCTGTGGCGGATTCGAGGGGCAGCGCTGTGTCATGGGAGTCTTGTTCTTGCCAATTCTTCACTCTTCGCGTATCCCCACCAGCCCATTCTGAAACCTTGCCCATGCGAGTTGGCGGGGAAACGAACGAAGAGACACACACACAGTGAAACAGAGCGGGCAACCAGGGTGACAGAGATATCTGGGAGCAAGCGGGCGGCGTTGGAGGGCCTCTTCGGGCCATCCCTGGGGCCCGCGTGGGGGCGAGGGAAGGAGGAGGATGAGGAGGAGAACGACGACGACCACCACGACGACGAGGAAGAGGAGGAGAAGGTACAGGAATACGATGAGGGCAAGGAGGAGGAGGAGAAGGAGGAGGACAACGAGGACGAGGACAGAGCGCTCACAATCGCCTCGTGGAGCCCTCTTTGGACTCTTTTGGGGGATATTGGAGTCATCATGCGATTCCTTTGGGGGACAGTGTGGTCCTCTTGGGGCTCTCTCTTGGGGGCTTGTTGCTCGTGGGGCTATCGCGGAGGGCGTCGGTGAAAAAGAGAAGGGGCTCGTAATATGTGATACCCCCCAGCAGCCATCAAGATCGCCTCTTGGGGCCTTCTCGGGGCGCTCTTGGGCCGCTCTTGGGCGCTCTTGGGGCCGTCTGGGGGGCCGCTTGGGCCCCTCTTGGGCCTCTCTTGGGCCATCTTGGGGCCGCGCCGAGGCTTCCAAAGCGCATCAGAAGCGAAAAGGCGAGAAGTCAGAACTCATTAATTGTCCCCAGGTTCTTGAAGGATTTCAGTTTCTTGGGGGGGTCCTGAGGGGGCTCCGAGAGCACTTGGAACCGTCTTGTGGCCCTCGTCGGGCCTCTTGGAGGTATGCTGGACGCTACCTTGAACCATCGTCAGTACTATTAAGCCGTCTTGGAGGCCATCTTGGAGCACCAGGTGCCCTCTTGCAGCCATCTTGGGGCTCTTCTGGATAGTTTTGGAGCCCTCTTGGAGCTGTTTGAGGGGGTCTTGGGGTCATCTTGGAGCCCTCCTGGAGCTCTCTTGGGGCTCCCTTGGGAGCCCTGGGCGGCCTCTTGGGGCCTGTTTGGAGGCCATCGGTCAAAAGGGGGGGGTCCTCATTTGCCTCCACTCCCTGTGGGGCCATCAACAAATCGCCCAAATGGGCCCAACACCGTAGTAACGTCAGTGATGGCGGCCTCCTCGCCGAGGCCATTTTGGACGCTCTGACGCTCAGCGACCCCCCCCCAACGAAAAACCTCTTGGAGAGGAGGGTAAACCTCCTGGAAGGGAAGGGGCTTTCGGAAGAGGAAAGGAAGACATCGCTAGACATAGACCACCTTAGCCTTACGTCGGGCGTGTCTCTGTACAGGGGGATTATTCAAGAAATAGTACACATTAGCCTGACGAAAGACCCAACCATACGTAGTTGTGACTACCGCAATTGTGGATATCGTGGGGGTTCCTTCTCCTCCTCCTCCTCCTCCTCCTCCTCCTCCTCTTCCTCCTCCTCCTCCTCCCTCCCTCCCTATGGGACCACGAAACGTGTGAGGGGTGTGCCAAAATGGGGCGGCGGCGCCATGCGAGTTGCGCCACTTGGACCTGAGATGGAGCTCCATGTGGGGCCACGGAACGTGTGAGGGGTGTGCCAAAATGGGGCGGCGGCGCCATGCGCACTGCGCCACGGTGGGCGCATGGGAGCGCAGCCACGGGGGCCTTCGGTGGAGCTCCCTATGGGGCCACGAAACGTGTGAGGGGTGTGCCGAAATCTGTGCGGTGGGCGCATGGGAGCGCAGCCACTGGGGCCTTCGCTGGAGCTCCCTATGGGGCCACGAAACGTGTGAGGGGTGTGCCGAAATGGGTGCGGTGGGCGCATGGGAGCGCAGCCACTGGGGCCTTCGCTGGAGCTCCCCATGGGACCACGAAACGTGTGATGGGTGTGCCGAAATGGGTGCGGTGGGCGCATGGGAGCGCAGCCACTGGGGCCTTCGCTGGAGCTCCCTATGGGGCCACGAAACGTGTGAGGGGTGTGCAGAAATGGGTGCGGTGGGCGCATGGGAGCGCAGCCACTGGTGCCTTCGGTGGAGCTCCCTATGGGGCCATGAAGCGTGTGAGGGGTGTGCCGAAATCTGTGCGGCGGGCGCATGGGAGCGCAGCCACTGGGGCCTTCGGTGGAGCTCCCTATGGGGCCACGAAACGTATGAGGGGTGTGCCGAAATGGGTGCGGTGGGCGCATGGGAGCGCAGCCACTGGGGCCTTCGGTGGAGCTCCCTATGGGGCCACGAAGCGTGTGATGGGTGTGCCGAAATGGGTGCGGTGGGCGCATGGGAGCGCAGTCACTGGGGCCTTCGCTGGAGCTCCCTATGGGGCCACGAAGCGTATGAGGGATGTGCCGAAATGGGTGCGGTGGGCGCATGGGAGCGCAGCCACTGGGGCCTTCGCTGGAGCTCCCTATGGGGCCACGAAGCGTGTGAGGGGTGTGCCGAAATGGGTGCGGCGGGCGCATGGGAGCGCAGCCACTGGGGCCTTCGGTAGAGCTCCCTATGGGGCCACTGGGGCCTCCTGATGATGATGATGATGATGATGATGATGATGATGATGATGGTGATGGT